CTCACTATGTAGTTCAGGCTGTCCTTGAACTCACTGTGTAGCTCAGGCTGTCCTTGAACTCACTATGTAGTTCAGGCTGTCCTTGAACTCACTGTGTAGCTCAGGCTGGCCTCAGACTCACAGTGATCATCCTGCCTCAGCCTCCAGAGCACTAGGATTACACGCATGTGCCTCGGTCATTTGTGATCTGAGACCATTGTGTGGAAAATCCTGGAAAGATGTAATTCGTGAGGTTTAAACTGCTTCCACTAAATTAGTTTCCTGTTCTGACACGAGAGAGAAGTAAGGACCAAGCACATGTGAGGTCCTTGGTTCATTTCCCAGCGCCCAGCCAGAGGGATGGGTGGATGGGTACATGGGTACACGGGTAGATGGGTGAGCGCGTGGATGGGCACTTGGATAGATACATGGATAGACAGGAGTGATCGATGAGTACATGGCTGTATAGGTAGATTTTTAAATGGAGTCACACACACCTTAATACTATTCCTAGTTCTGGTCTTGGAAGGATTTATTTATTTATTTATTTATTTATTGGTCTTTTTCAGACAGGATCTCCCTGTGCAGTTCAGGCTGGCCTTGAACTCACTTTGTAGCCCAGGCTGGTCTCGAACTCACAACAATCCTCCTGCCTCAGCCTCCCGAGTGCTGGGATTACAGGCGTGTGCCACCACGCCGGGCTCTCAGAAAGATTTATGAGCAACCATGCCCCAGGAGTAAAAAGCCCATCTTTTGCTCAAACTTTTCTTTCTTTCTTCTTTCCTTCCTTCCTTCCTTCTTTTGTATTTTTTGAGATTTTTTTGTTTAAGACAGGGTGTGACTGTGTAGTTCAGGCTGGCCTTCAGCTTACTTTGTAGCGAAGGCTGGCCTGAAAACTCACAGTATCCTCCTGCCTCAGCCTCCCGAGTGCTGGGATGACAGGCGTGCACCACCATGTCCAGCTCAGATATTTATTTCTAAATGCGCTCTGTTGAAAGGCCCTGGGCCGCTTGCTGTGCTGTGTAGCTGGCCCAAGGCTGGCAGTGAGGTACACGGTGAGCCTGCGCCCCGTCCCTACCCGGGAGGGACCCAGGGGGTCTGTCCTCCTGCGTCTCCACCGCCTCCTGGGAGCCCCGCAGACCCGTGGCTTCACCCGCCTGGCTGTCGAGTGCCCGTGATGCCCTTACCTCCCTGGGAGCCCACCTGGGGACGCAGCCCCGACACTGCCACGGTCCTGAGCACCGGGCCTGCCTGCCCCCGCCAGCTGCCGCTGGGGCAACCTCCAAGCAGGCCCTGGAAAGTCCACAGGGGACCCCGCGCCCTCAATGGGCTTCCCCCGCCCAGGCGGGGACGTGACGCCCCGTGTCCCCCTCCCCCCCGAAAGCGGAAGTGTGGCCTCAGGCCCTGGCGGGGGCGGCAGAAGCAGAGGCTGCAACGCCTTGGAAACAGAAATGTTTGTTTCCAGTCTCGGGGCTGCTCGCGGGATGGCACAGGAGGGAGTACACCCTGCTCTGAGAGCATTCCCAAGGGTTTTGTAGCTGGCTAGGAGCCTAGCAGTTAGCAAGTTGCCCAGTTCTGTCCCATTCCTGTCCCGGGCTCCCCGACAGGGCCGCCGAGGGGTACAAATCACAGGCTCCGAGCTTCTCGTGGGGAATAAGGGAAGGGGCCTGGTGTGGCGGTGCCTGTCTGTCACCCAGGATCCTGGGAGGCTGAGACAGGACGACCTGAAGTTCCAGCCCAGCCTGGGAAGACGTGGATCAGAATAAAAATAAAATTCAAAGGGGCTGGGGCTCGCATTCCTGGGCTCCCTCCTTTCTGTTTTTTTCCTTTTTCTTTTTCAGTACTGGGAATTGAGTCCACGGCTGCTTTTAAGTTTCAGGCAGGGTCTGGCTAGGTTGCTAAGCTGCCCAGGGCGGGCTTGAGGTTGCTGTCCTCCTGCCTCAGCCTCCCACGTGCTGGGATGACAGGCGTGCGCCCCGTTCTGTACCTCTGCACCTCCTCTGAGAATCCTGAACCCGCAAATTCACCCAAACTCAACCGGAAGATATTTTTCAAAAGCACCAAATCTGTCCTGAGAATGTGCAGACGAGCTCATGTTTATTTCTTCCCAGACCGCAAAGTCTGAGAACGATTTCTACTGCACGGGTGGCTCAGGGTTAAAGTCACTGAACGTGGCGCTGCACGACTGTCATCCCAGCACTCCGGAGGCAGAGGCAGGAGGGTCTCCGAGAATTCAAGGCCAGCCTGAACTACATAGTGAGACCGTGTCTCAGAAAGTGAAACAAAAATGAATTTTGAAAAGACCACAAAAGTGAGAGACAGAGACAGATAGAGATAGAGAGACAGACAGAGAGACAGAGGGTGGAGACAGGGACAGGGACAGAGCCGGGCGGACACAGTGACGACCGGGCCTGGGAGAGAGTGTGGACCCAGGTTGCAGCTGCCCCACGCGGCGCCCCTCACCTCAGAGACCCTGACGCCTTTGAGGACATCGCCACCCACGCGGGGCCAGGGGTTCAGGACGGTCATCCCAGCGCGTGGGAGGCTGAGGCGGGAGGATCCCTAGCAACTCAGCAGCGAGGCCCGGTCTCAAGGTGCAGACTGCAAAGGTCTGTGTGGCGCTCCGGGCGGCGGCTGCAGGTTTGGTCCCCGGGAGGAGCAGGGCAGGGTCAGGCCGGCCTGCGGCTGGGGCCCCTGAGGTTCCAACTCACAGAAACAGAAAGTGGGGCTGCGACAGGAACCCGCTTGTTTGCCTAATGGCTGCAGGGCTTCCGTTTGCCGGGGTGAAAGGCGGCGCTCCGCCGGGGGTGGGGGTGCTGCTGTCTCGCACTTCACAAGGGAGCTGGGGCTTGGGCTGTGCACGGACCGGCGGGCGCCCCGGGCCTGTCCTCCTTGAAAAGAAGAAGCTTTGTAAAGCTGTATTTACCCAGCCGTGGCAGCGCGGCCTGTCATCCTGGGAGGCTGAGGCAGGAGGATCTCCGAGAGTTCAAGGCCAGCCTGGACTGCACAGGGAGACCCTGTCTCAAAAGCACCCACCAGGGGAAGCAGGACAAGTCTGTCTCCTCTGCAACTCGGGACCCTCCTGCCTCAGCCTCCTGACTTGGGGGACGACAGGCGCACACCGTGGACCCTATGTCCACACCACCGTTGCCACAGGAGATCGGCATCCGTGGCAGAGCTGTGCGGGGCCGACCAGGGCCACGCAAACCCTGCTGCCCAGCGGCACCAACCAGAGTCATTATCTCTCTTGTTAAAAACTGCTCCTGGATGCCGGGCGTGGTCATGCACGTCTGTCATCCCAACACCCAGGAGGCTGAGGCAGGAGGATCCCCATGAGTTCCAGGCCAGCCTGGGCTACAAAGTGGGCTCAAGGCCAGCCTGAACCGCATAGGGAGACCCTGTCTCAAAAGGACAAAAGAAAAAAGAATAGAAAAGAAAAGAAAAGAAAGAAATCATTAGGGGTCAGGCGCACACCTGTCATCCCAGCTCCCAGGAGGCTGAGGCAGGAGGACCTCAAGTTGGAGCCCAGCCCGGGGGAGCTGACGAAACCCTGGGTCCAGATGAAAAATAAAGCCAGCGGGGCGGCAGCTTGGTGAGGTCCTGAGCTCTATCCCCAGTGCCTTAAATAAATAAGCGGCTGAGGCGGGAGGATCTCTGAGAGTTCGAGGCAAGGTCAGTTTGATTTAATCCATTTGAACAGAACCATGGTTTGTCCACGAGCGCCACCGCCACGCCGTCCCGCGCCCGCCCGCTCCGTGTCATTCTGAAACCACAGCCAGGACGCAGCGCGGGGACCCGCACGCGGGGCAGGACGGGCCTCGGGTGCGACGCGCTTTCCCAGGGACTCCGAAGCCTGCCTGCTCCCTGCGTGACCTTCACAGCGAAAACCACACGCCTTCAAAGCCCCGCGTGGTGACGCGCGCCCGGAGCCCTGGCACTCGGGAGGCTGAGGCGGGAGGGTCTCCCGAGGAACAGAACGGGGACAGGGTGTGGGCCTGCGAGTGGCCGCATCGACCCCCCGCCCCGAGGGTTCTCTTACCGGCTTCCAGGTCCCCCGCAGCCACCGGGTCCCCCAGTAGCAGCAGGACGGCGGCGGCCGCCCAGGGCTGGACACGTGTGCCCATGTCCCTGCCGAAAACCGGGCCCCCGAGAGATCCGCAGCCCTGGCCGGCCCCGAGCCGCGTTCGTGACTAACAGACCGAGGTCAGCCCGCTTGATAAACGCAGAAAGGAACTGGGGAAGTGATACGGGGCAGGAAGCCGTCACGCTTGATTGTACACCATGATATTCACCAAGGAGGAGAGGGGGCGGGGCGCGCGGCGGCTGCTGTCCGTGCCCCTGGAGGAGGCCGAGGCAGGAGGATCTCGGGGCTGCTAGCGAGCCCCTCCCTCCAAATGAAGAGCTGAAGCCCGGGGATGCCCAGAGCCCTGCCTGGGGACACTCGGGACACTCCAGGGCCTCACAGGGACACGGGGAGGTGGCCGAGGATGATGCGGGTGTCTTAGGGGACACTGGTCAGGAAGTCAGTCAACAAATGCACAACAGTGCCAGCCCTCCAGGAGTGGTTTTGTTGAGTGACCCCGGAAGGGCACTGGGACAGGGACCTGGGGACACAGGGGCTGGGGCAGGGGGCGCAGGAGACCCCACGGCTGGAGGAGGAATCACCCCGCTCGGCCCGGTCCCTGCCTGCCTGGGATCCTGCGTGCGGCCCGGGACACCACATGGTGTGTGTGACACATGCAGCACTGTCAGAGTCACCGCTCGCTCCGTCCACCAGATGTCCCCAACGGGAGGCTGAGGCAGGAGGGTCCCGTGAGTTCCTGCCAACCTGGGCTACAAAGTGAGTTCAACGTCAGCCTGAACTGCAGAACGAAAAAGGAAAAAAAAATCAGTACTGGCCGGGTGCATGCCTGTCTCTTTGGGAAACTGAGGCAGGAGGATCTCCAATTGGATCCCAGCCCAGGGAAACTGGTGTCCCTGAGGACACACAGAGGCACCCCCGATGCTCAGCCCCAAGGGGACAGGAGCGGTGACCGACTGGGGGCCACCACCAGGGGAAGACAGACAGACAACAGACAAATGATGGGTAGATAGATAAATGATAGGTGACTGACTAATAGATTACTGATAAACACACAGACATATGTATATACAGAGACAATGGGCAGATGAACTGATGCATAGATTACAGAGAGAGAGACACCTACAGAAGAGGTACGTGATTGCGCGGATGGATAAGTGGATAGATGCATGGATGGATGGGTGGATGGACAGATAAGTAGATGGATAGATGGACAGACAGACAAAAGCACAGATGAGTGGATGGGTGGATAGAGCAACAATAGAATGATTAACAGGTTACTGATACATACAGGCATATGTGCACACATAGATGATGGATGGAGAGATCAACAGATTGATGGTAAGCTGATAGGTAGGTAGGTAAGAAAAATAATAGAGAGATCTGTGATAAATGATACACACATGCTAGATCCAGAGATAAATGAGACAGATAGATAGATGATAGATAGATAGATAGATAGACAGATAGATGATAGATAGATCGATGATAGATAGGTAGATGATAGATAGATAGGACAGCAGGCGTACGAATGGATGGATGGACACAGCCTCCCTCCCTCCCTCCCTCCTTCCTTCCCTCCTTTTCTTCCTTCCAGCCCCGAGAATCAAACCCAGTTCATGTCTTATCTCCAAACAAGGTCTCCTTGAGCAGGCTGGGCTCAGCTCAGGATTGCAATCCTCCTGCCTCAGCCTCCTGGAGTGCCCACACCCAGCATAGTTTCCATGAAGAAAGCCAACCAGGGTTATTTGATTGATTGATTGATTAGCCGATTGATTGATTTTTGTCTTTTTCAGACAGGATCTCACTATGCAGTCCAGGCTGGCCTTGACCTCACTTTGAAGCCCAGGCTGGTCTCGAACTCGCAGTGGTCATCCTGCCTCAGCCTCTTGAGAGCTGCGACCACAGATGTGTGCCACCACGCCCGGCCCGCCAGGGTTATTTTTGCACAACAGCAGCGCCCTGGACAGAGGCCTGGCGTGGAGGCGCCGCCTGTCATCCCAGAGCTCAGGAGGCTGAGGCAGGGGGGTCCCAAGTTGCAGCCCAGTTCTGCAAAAATACAATTAGCTCAAGTGAATCCCAGGGTGGCCCTGACCCACAGGACCGGGTCCTGCTGAGAAGAGACAGGAGGACGCAGACGCACACGGAGGACACGCGTGTGGGACACGGGGAGGAGCCGGCGCGGCCCACGCCTGGACCTCAGGCTCGGCTCCAGGACAGGACAGGAAGCGTCCACGCTGGGAGGGACCGGGCAGGGAGACTTGACCAGGGTGGCCTGAGCTCAGTCATATAAAAAGGACCCTCCTGCCTCTGCCACGTCCTGGGTCTCCAGGCCCTTGCCGAAGGCACGGTGGCTCCCCAAAGTAAAGATCAAATTATTGTAGAAGCTAGCGATTGTGCTTCTAGCAATCACCCCCAAAGAACTGAAGAAAGGACCCAAATACCTGCACATCTGAGCCCAGGGTAGTGGCATCCTTCACAACTGCCTGACGTGGAAATACCCAAATACCCGCGGGTGGGAGTTTAGATACAGAAACTACGGCCCAGCCTCAGAAAGGAATATTATGCAGCTGTGAAAAGGAACGGGGTCTGACACCTGGCAGAACCTGAGGTGGACCTTGAAGGTACGCCCCCACCCCAAATGGTCAGTTTTCTGGTCAAGGTTGTGTGACAGGCACAGGACCACAGTAAAAACTGATTTCCACCCCCACCCCACCACCAAAGCAGACTTCCTTCCCCTGGTACAGGGAAAAGTTATTCTCCGAGGGGCGGAGAACAAAAACTGCCGGGCATGACACAGGAGCCCACGGCGGTGCCTTCCCACAGCCACGCGCGCTGTGACATTTTGGGGGACAAAAATGTCACAGATGTCATGCCTGCCACCGGCGTTTCAGTTCCCCTTGGGAAGGCGGCTGGGGGGTGGGCGGAGACCACCGCAGTGGGGAAGTGCGTAGAAGAGACGCCCGAGTTTTCCTGTGTTTATGGCAGCACCGTTTGTGGCAACCGAGAGACGGAAACAGGTTCAGCACACATGGCAGGTGGAGGGGGGAGAAAATACACGGGGCGGAATACTACGCAGCCATGAAAAGACCAGGCTTCTACCATGGCAGCGGCATGGGTGGGATGGGAGAGGTTTGCGTCCAGTGCAACAGTCTGGGAGCAGAGGCGGGGGTGCTGCTCAGGCGAGGATGCTGGGAAAGTAAATAAGTAAATAATAAATAAATAAAAAAGGATGCTGGAGGCGGCCCGGAGCCCAAGTCCGGCTCTGCCTCAGGGTCCCCCTTGCCTCACAGAGATGGGGATCCCACTTTCTCCGGGCCAGGCTTGGGCTCCAGAGCGCCTTTCCTGGCTAGGCACAGAGGCACACGGCCACCATCCCCGCACTTGGGAGGCTGAGGCAGTGTTGGCTTCCCGGCCTGGCTTGTTCCACGCGGCACCACCCCTTCTATTGCCTGTGGCAGGATTTTGTTCTTCTTCATGGCTGTGTAACATTCCACTTCGTGTGTAGGCCACATGTTCTTAATCCATTTATCCAGCGAGGTAGGATCACCGCGGGGCGCCGCCACCCCTGCCTTATTAGTTTAGCTTGTGATTGGCATTGATTTGGGGTGAACCCGGATGTTGGGGTGAATATTTACAACTTGGGGTGCCTCAGGGCTTGGGACAGCGGCAGGAATCGGGGTGAGGGGTGAATCCCGGGTGAATGATGAAATCGGGGGTAACCCGGACACACTGTGAATATACTGCGGGGTAAGTCAGGTCTCTGCAGCATGCTGGGAAATTGGGGCGACCGCAGGGAGGCCGGGGTGAATGTAATAATTTGGGGCGACCGCAGGGAGGCCGGGGTGAACATATTTGCGCTGAACCGTCCTTCAATGAGCACGTGGGAGTGGCGCGCGCGCCTGTCATCCCAGCACTCAGGAGGCTGAGGCAGGAGGATCCCCGCGTTGGAGGCCAACCTGGGCTTCGGGGAGCGGCCCCAGCTCAACCTCCAACAAACACGCGGGGCTGCCGGTGCCGCTCCGCGCTGCCCGCGCCTCCCTGCGATTCCGGTTCTGGTTTTTCCCGGCCTGGCCGCCCGGAAAACGGGAAAGGGCTGGAGAGAGCCCTGCGGGACGCCAAAGGCAGCGTGCGGTGCAGCCCCGGACGGAGGCCCAGGCTGCGCACTGCGGTCCTGGCTGTGTTCCGTCCGAGGCCGGCGGGGTCCGAGGGTGGCCGGCTGGGGTCCCCCGCCCCGCCCCGCCCGGCCGGACCGAATTCCAAGCCGGCTCCCGGGAGGAGGAGGTGCGGCAGGCGGGAGGCGCCGGGCGCGTTCCTGGGATTCCTGGGATTCCGGCCGCAGAAACCCGATGCGGCGTTTGCAGAGTGAGCTGCTGAGCCCGAGCGTCCAGCGTTTCCGGATGGCGGCCGGGCCGGGGCCGGGCTTCGCTCGCCGTCCGCGGGGACAGACTCCCCGGGAGGCGGGAAGGGTGCAGGTGC